CACGGCAGGCGCGCTGCCTCCCAGGCCTCCTCCTCCTCACGACCAGCGCCCTGAAGCCTGGGAGTCTGTGAAAAAAGACCTAAAAGTTTAAAATGGCCACCGCGAGGAGGAAGGCGGAAGTCCCGCCCTAACCGGATGCGCAGACACGGAAATGCCCTTTAGCACCGCCCACAAGGGTGCAGTTCCTTCTGGGTAATGTAGTTTTCTCAACCTCTCAGGGCAGGGATAGCATCCCAGCCAATGACTTAGGTGAATAAAGGTGATGTGGCCCAGCAAGAGATGCCTGGGGAGGGAGTAGATGGGACCAGAGGCCTAGCTAAATGCAACAGACTGACAGATGTCCGAGGAAAAGAGGGTGGGGAGGACTGGAAGAGATCCACCAAGAATATATACACAGGGGGGAAATCGGAGACATTTGTAATAGTATCAACAATAAAAAATACACGTATTTTTAAAATTTTTAAATAATGAAGCCCAGCTGCTGTGTCTCAATGGTTGAACATTGACCTATGAAACCGGAACTCATGGTTCTTTTCCTAGTCAGGGCACATTCACGGGTTGCAGGCTCAATTCCCAGTGTGGGGATGGAGTCGTGCAGGAGGCAGTTAATCAGTGATTCTCTCTCATCATTGATGTTTTTATCTCTCCCTCTCCCTTTGACCCCCTAAAATCAATGAAAATAAATTCAATAATGTATATACATATATGCATGCCCATGGACATAGACAATAATGTGGTGAGGGCCTAGAAGAGGTGGGGGCAGGGGAGAGGGAGGAAAAAGGTAAGGGGTATGGGGGAAATTTGGGAACATCTGTAACATAGTCAACAACAATAACAAAAGAATAGTGTGCACAGTCAGTGTTGCTCAGTGGGGGGTGTGTACCCATGAAGCAATATATCACGGGTTTGATTTCAGGTCGAGGCACATACCCAAGTTTGTGGGTCCATCTTAGGAGGTTGGGCAATGCAGGAGGCAGCTGATTAATGATTCTCTTTCATCGGTGATGTTTCTTCCTCTCCCTTTCTCTCTAAAGATTCAATAAAAACACTTAAAAAATGAATAGTGTTAAGATTGATTTGACTCATCAACAGCAAAGTGAGTGTGGACCATCACACTGTCTCCCAAGTCTTGTAAGCAAAGTCATGCCTTGATCTGTGTTTATAGCAGATGTCCCAGGCATAACCAGCCTGGAGCACGTCTGCATCAGGTTGGCCTGTAGTGTTTGTGTTCTTGACTTCATGCAGAAAAGATTTCACAACATGCGTTCAGAAGATTTTGAGGGAACATTCATTAAAGCTGGGGATGATGAAAGAATGTAGATGTCTTAGATGCTGAACGTTCTGCCTATTTTTTAAGTCATAAATTCATTTTAAAAATTGGCAAAAGTTTCTGACCAGACTTTTCAACAAAAGAGATAAAGACAATGCAAATAAATGCATAAAGAAATGCTCACCATAAAAATTTTTTAGGGGGATGGATTTAAAACAAAACAAGTTAACACTATACTGATTTTCATGCCGGCAATTTTAAAATATCATATGTTGCGTGAGCTCACCTGGATAAAGAAAAACTAGAATTTTCATTATTGTGGGTGTCTGGAAAGCCAAAGAGAATGTCCATTTTAGATCACAGTTCTGCATGTCTTAAAAAGTAAAACCTCACTTACACTACAACAGTTAGATAAGTAGAACATATATGTATGAAGAACTGAACCCAAGTTCCCCCAAATTTATTTATAATGCCCCAAACCTAGAAATAACATAAACCATAGATCAATAAAGTGGTTATTCCCTGAACACAATACTACTCAGCAATAAAAAATAATAAGTTTTTCACATAAGCATTAGTGTTGAATCTCAAAACAACTCTGTAGAATGAAAGAGTCCAATATTTGTTAAAGTATACACAAATTATAGTGTTCATAACATTATGAAAAATATGAACTAATCTTTTAAAGAAAGGAAAATGAATGACTGCATTTAGAGCTGGGGAAGGCAGAAAGAGAGATTATAAAAGGGCAGGAGGTAAATATAGGGTGTGGTAAAGTAGGTTTAGAATT